AATAGGCTACTGCATAAACTATAGACCAATTCAGAATAAAACAATAGTGGATTTAGCATACATTTTTAAAAGGTATATTTTTATATAACCTTCTCCCTCTACACACTTTGATCAATTCAAGAATAATTCATGCAATTGTATATTGTTAATTTGAAAGCATTAAAAGTGCAGTTTCTTGTCTCTCCTCCTTGTATTAATCAAGTGGTTGAGGTTGATATAGGATTTAGTAATATGTAGACCAATACTTTCTAGAGATAGTAATTATTACATTAATCTAACTACACCGTTGAAGATGTCATTTGTTGTTAATAATTCATAACTATTTTAGAGTAACTGTTATAATATCAGAGGTGAAACTGGAAGAATGTTATTCAACCTAAAGTAGTCTACTATTACTTTGATACATTTTTACTTAAGTAAAAGTAAAAATACCAGTCTAAAAAATCTACTCAAGTAAAAAGTAGTTAATTTAAAACATGAGTAAAAGTTGCTGAGTAACTTGTTTAACAGCGGGGGTGGGGTGGGGGACTCCCCCATGTGGGGTTGTAACGTATGAGAGTTTCACAGTATGAGAACCGTCTCAGAAAATATCACGGTTTATGGTATTAAACAATTGTTAAATATATAAACTGCATTATTAAATTACGGTTATTATTTTCATCAGTTAAAATGACAGTTAAATAAATTAAACATTTGTTCAATAAAACATAATACCAACTAACTTCAATAATTGATTATGATTATGATTGACATCTTATTTTTTATCATGAATAACTTGAATAACATGAATAATTAAATTGTATTACAATTTTTTCAATGATTTAATAGAAATATATTATCCAAAACAGTGGTAATCAAATAAAAGTTTAGCAAATGTTTTAATTTTTTTATTTTTTGGCAAAGTGCTGCAAAACAGATTTAGTCAATTAAATCATGGACAAACAATATATATATATATTCCTTAAAGAATGTGTAAATACATTTTAGTATTATTGTTGGTGTTTAAACAGCACTTCCTCTTTAAAAAAGGGGAGGAGACCGCAAGAAACTCTGGGTTTACTGAAGAAAACCTGCTCCCGACCAGGTTAGGTTCAAAGAGTAAGTTACCATGGTAACTGACTCTGAGTATAAGTTACCTCTCTTTCAGAAACGGGCTTGACTTACTCTGCTTTCTCGGGTTTGATATACCCCCCTTTCTGAAACGGAAAACCCAGAGTTTCCCTCATTTCAGGGTTAACATACTCAGAGTTTTCACTTAACCTCCTTTCTGAAACAGGCCCCAGGTAGCCCTTCATAACAATGGTCAAGTTGTCTCTAATACACCACACAAAGTGCAGGAATGGTTTGAGGAACACGATAAAGAGTTCAAGCGGTTTCCCTGGGCTCCAATCAAACCATAACACACATATGGCCACCCAGAGTATGTAATTTTAGAATGAAAGTGATCGATGAGTCATGAATTGTGATGTATTAGTCGGTTTGATTTCACACAAATCCATGCATACGCACAGTGAATGGTACACACAGTTTCGAATGCGAAAATATAAAAGATTCAATGTATAGTGCGCAGAATTACAAGTATGTTAGTCTTCCATTCCTGTTTTCTCTGCAATCTGACGCATTTCAGCAGCAACGTGTCCCTGACATGCGGCGGTCCAGCACTAATCTGAGAAGGATGGAAAACGATTCCAATAAAACAATGGCAACATGTGGTGCGCTGCCCAGAATGCAGAGGAGGGCGCAAAAGCTCCCTGGAGTATACAACAGTCAAGAAGATTTAAATAGAGTCGGAAAAACTGGGAGACAGAAAGAGAGAGAAACTTTTTGAAGATGTCATATTTTGAAAGTGGGCTTCACACTCCTTCAGGGCTGAGTTGTCCTTACAAGACAGATTTGAAGGCAAAAATGATGAATTTTAAAGCACAGGAAGGACACGATCAAAGAGATCAAGATCAAGATCAAATATTTCTTCTGAGGGTATAGTTTAATATCCTGTTTTTCTTTACAATAGAATGGAATAATAAAAAAAAGACTAGAATAGAATATAATGGCAGCTAACAAAAATATGTTCTAAGAATATTTAGCCAATTTCCCCGTTAACATGAAAGTATAATTTCTGAATGTTCTGTGACATCCAGCTTTTAAATGTCTTGAAGAATGTTTTTACTTGCCATCCATTTAAACGTTAAAGGAGTCACTTAAAAAAAAAAAAAACTTTTGTTGATAATTTACTCACCCCCATGTCATCCAAGATGTATGTCATTAGCCTATTTCTTCAACGAACGAAATGAACGGAATGACTCACAAAAGATTTGTTTTATTTTGATGAACGATTTCGAACAGGAGAGACACAAACGCTCATCACAGAACAGAGCAAGGCGAGCATTTGAGCTTATAAAACTTAAACTTTGTTATTTATTTTTTAAATGACCAATCTTTTGGCTTGATAAGACCCTTATTCATCGTCTGGTGTCATTTAAAGCCTCTTTGAAGCTGCACTGAAACAATAATTTGGACCTTGAACCGTTTGGTTCCCAATTAAGTCCAGAACATTCTGGAACAAATAAATACATAAAAAGAAAAATAAATAAAAATTTTAAATGAACATAACATAAAATAAAATAACACATTTCAGAAAAACATTGCATGAACCCATGACCATGTGTTAATGTGGAACACAATTAAAGACCATATATAACACAATCTATAAATGATACTGGAAGAACTCTTATAGAGAAACTTGTTAGCTAAAGTTCTGAGAACATTGGGGTGAGGTAGAATTCACAAGTTACAAAAATAATCAGAAATTGTCCGAGGGGAGCTCTCTGAATTTTGGCCCGAACCCAGAGTATAGGCTACTCCCCCCGTATGGTTAAAATAACCAGGCGAGTGGTGGTGGGATGCAGAAAACTGTCAATGTTAGTTGGCTCTCTCTCTCTATATAGGCTATCTATAGGCTACTGTATATATTGCTGATTGGTTAGAGAATTTGAACGTGTTTCAACACGCAAGACGTCTGTTTGAGACATGATATTAGAGATGCTGTTCTTACTAAATGCACTATAGTCTATTTTCTAAATATATATCTTGCACAGGCTACTTAAATGTGTATTCCCCAAAATGAACAGTTATCAGAAAATGGCTCGCAAACACCCACACTAGACGTGGCTCATCCCAAATGCAGCGATGTGAATATAAAGAATAGGAGAGGAATGCTAAAACAGATAAAAAGGCATGCAAATCTAAATTTTAAAGACTTATGTAAAAAGCTTTGAAATGAAAAGCATTTGTGACTTTTTCAATCCACCCGCAGCAGAAACGCATTTACAGCTGTGGCTTATACTCTCTTCTTAACTCTCTCCTTCCACTGCATGCATCCCTTGAAACGTTCCTCTGAACCAACCGTCTCCTAAATCTAATGAAAGCGTCATGCTGGGGAACTCTGCGGGGGATCTTTTTGAAAAGCGTCAAAACCGCCGTTATTTGACATTTACAGTAGCCTACCCGAGTATGAGGAGATGCGAGCAAATTATGCGGATTAGAAAACTTTACGTTGTAGTCAATTTTTTCAAGAAAGATCAAGTTTTCGAATAGGAGAGGGAAAGTCATTTCCAATGCGAAACGAACCTCTGTGTTCGTGACATCGCAAATTGCATCGTTGCATCGTAATTGCAGCGCAATTGAGAGGGTTTCTGTCATCACCGATCCATTCATCAGGATATTACATCAGGTTATATTATTCAAAGATTTAAGTTGGTCGACTTGCCAGGAATTTCTTGCTTACGGAATCTTTTGAGGATCGTGACGTAGCCTACGCGTCACGCAATTCAAATAGTCTAATTGGCGCCCATGAAAGTCGTTTTAAACAAAATAATACAGATTTTATTCACATATTTTTTAACGTGGCTTAGCCTTATAATAAAATGAAATAAAAAAGTGATTCGAAGTCTCATGTTCGCTCTCAGTGTCTGTTAATTGCTCTGACTAATGTCAAATAAACGGCTTATGTTTTTTTCTGTGTAGCGTGCAATAGTTCTAAACGAATTCTATATCCTAGCTGACCGTTGAATTTGAGGTTGTATCGTAAAAAAATAATGTTATTTGACGTAGGCTACAACTCGTTGTTTGACATTTCTATGTTGAATCCATTGAGCTAACAACACCACTTCAACTATTTGGTGTTCAATGTTGTTTTGACGTTGAATTCATGTTTTTTTCATAAACTGACATTCAACAACAAACGGTTAGTCGAATGCGAGCTGGGTAGTTCTAAAGGGCTCTAGCGGTAATCGTTGCTATTGGTAACTTAGCGAACATTCCAACCCGATCATTCGTACGAATTTTACGAGGTGGCTGACAATCCCCAGATTCTGTTTCCAATCGTCTATTTAGCGCAGGCTGACTACAAAAATTAATAAATGTCTACTTATAAGTTTGTTGGTGTGCAGTGCGATAACGAGCTGTAGTAGTAGCCTAGCCTACGTAACGCGTGCGCGGCGTAGCCTCTACTGTTGCGTGCCAACGAAAACAACTTACGTTCACTAGTATTTAGCGTACGCTTCAACGTACATTTACGAAACTGTAGACATTAGCATCGCATAGATTATCTTAACATTTCTATATTTATTTGATTAACATATATTTTTAGGCCTACTGTTTACATTATTTATTAGTAATATTAATATTAGCCTATTCCAATAACTTAATTTTTCCACATTTAGCCTATCTATTCATCTGTTCAGTTATTTAGTTTTTTTTTTTTTTTTGGTGTGTGTGTGGAATTCAAGATTGGCTAAACAAATAGGAGAAAAATATATGCTGCAGGCAGTTGTGATTCTGTAAAAAACAAAACAAAAAAAGAAATCATTTGAACATTTCAAGCGGAGTTCCACCCCACCAGTGGTTGCGCAGAGGTAGGCTACATCATTTCTTGTTTTTTCTCTGAAGGAGTATTTCTGCTGTGGGTGGTGGTATTCAGTTCACTTCGCTTTCAGCAGATGCCGAGTTCATTCTCCAGTGCAAATATGGAGCTGGGTAAAATCACTGGAGATGCAGGATTGGCGCACATTGAGCTTTGCGCACAGAGAAACCACTGAACACATCACTTGAGGAAATAGTCCAAAGTAGCCTATTTGAAACGCTGTAACCTTTCATAATGTGGATTATAGTTCTGTGGATATTTGTCCAAGTTTTGCTTGGTACTTCAGTCGAAGCACAGGTAAGATGAACAAACAATGTGTTGCTTTATACACACTTCACACATCACATCACCTTCATGATTTATTTGAATTTAAAGCCATACAAAATATAATACAATACATTTCATAATATCTTAGATCTAAATGTTTTTCTTCTGTTTATTGTGAAAGTTTGAATCTTTAATTGCTACATTTCCATCTAATTTAACCCTTAAAATGTATTTTAACTATGTAATCTAGCATATTATGTAATTCAGTTTATATCTTTGACTTAAATGAACTAGTTAATTTTGATTTTACAGAATGAATCATTTTAGGTTGTTGCCTGACAAACATTGCGAAGTCATATATGTAAAGTCAGACGATCTGAATGGGATTCATCTGGAAATATGACATAATTGTATGCAACATTGCAGAAATTTTAACTAATTTATATTGTAACTACAAGTGTATTCTGATGCTTTTCATGGCGTTTTGCATTTATGTATAAAGCTTAAATGTCTGTTGGTGGCTTTAAAACTCCATGACATATCTGATTAGAGGTATATCAAATCCAAGATATCTTTAAGTCAAACACTTCAACAATTTCTCTTGTTTTTTGTCTCTGGGCAGCATTTGGACCCTGATGTAGGCTTAACAGCTCAGGAACAAGTTCTCCTGCTGTATGACATCAAACTGCAGTGCCTTCAGAACATCTCAGAACACAACCCTGCCGGTAAGACTCCGCTTGGAACCTTTTTTCACTCTAAAACCAATCCAATAGATAGCATGCGTACATCACAGAGATGTCTATTTAATGTGATATTTACATCTGGAAGATGTATTTTTTTTGAGTGTTTGCTCATCTGCAATACGTCTATAGGACGTTTCCTGTCAGATGTCAAATAGACGTTTAGAAGATGTCTTTAAGATGAAATGATTTAGAATGAATGTTAAACTGACATCTTAAAGATGTCTATCAGATGTAAACAGCAGATGCTTTCCAGATGAAGTGATCTTTAACAGACATCTTGCAGACGTACGTGTTCTATCCCAGACAGCACAAGTCAATTTGATGTGATGTTTCCATCTGGAAGACGTATTTTTAAGAGTGTTTGCTCATTTGCTGCAATACGTCTATAGGACATTTCCTGTCAGATGTCAAATAGACGTTTAGAAGATGTCTTTAAGATGTAATGATTTAGAATGCATGTTAAACTGACATCTTCTAAACGTCTATTTGACGTCTGATAGGAAACGTCCTATAGACGTATTGCAGATGAGCAAACACTCTGGGAGATGTCTTTACCCACATAGCACAAGTCTATTTGATGTGATGTTTACATCTGGAAGACGTATTTTTAAGAGTGTTTGCTCATCTGCAATACGTCATTTCCTGTCAGATGTCAAATAGACGTTTATAAGATGTCAGTTTAACATGCATTCTAAATCATTACATCTTAAAGACATCTTCTAAACGTCTATTTGACATCTGACAGGAAACGTCCTATAGACGTCTTGCAGATGAGCAAACACTCTTTAAAATACGTCTTCCAGATGTAAATAGGAGATCAAACAGCCTTGTGCTATCTGGGATAGGACATTTCCTGTCAGATGTCAAATAGACGTTTAGAAGATGTCAGTTTAACATGCATTCTAAATCATTACATCTTAAAGACATCTTCTTAACATCTATTTGACATCTGACAGGAAACGTCCTATAGACGTCTTGCAGATGAGCAAACACTCTTAAAAATACGTCTTCCAGACGTAAAAACACATCAAATAGACTTATACTATCTGGGATAGGACATTTCCTGTCAGATGTCAAATAGACGTTTAGAAGATGTCAGTTTAACATGCATTCTAAATAATTACATCTTAAAGACATCTTCTAAACGTCTATTTGACATCTGAGAGGAAACGTCCTATAGACGTATTGCAGATGAGCAAACACTCTTAAAAATACGTCTTCCAGATGTAAACATCACATCAAATAGACTTGTGCTATCTGGGTGATAGCTGAGATGACAGATAATTTGCATAACTGACCAAAATATGCAGTGGCGTAACTTTGTTTTGTGGCTGGGACTGTGTTTGTGATGGGGAGATGCTATCAGATACAACAATTGACCAGAAATCAATTTCAGTTGTACATTGAGAACTCATGTTTAATGTGATAGCTTTATTCTTACATATAGATTCGGAATTAACCCGTGGTCTGGTGGTAAAACTTTCAATATTAAGCGCGTCAGAGGTTCCGGGTTCTAATCTGTCCTCGTATAGTCCCCTCTTTAATTATTCATTAATGATTAAATACAATCATTAATGAATAAAGATATTCATTAATGATAGCCTACATCAAGACACAGTGCACTTTGTTTAGAGTCTCTGCAACGGCATAAGATTGGCACGCTCATGTGTGAAGCCAAAAGAGATCATTCCGCCTTTGATAACATTGGCACCGAACGAACACTCGATTTAACAAAACAACACATTCCAGAGCCTCTTAAACACAAATGCGCATCGAATGCACATTTGCATTAGGTACACATCTGACTGTTTAAGTGGTAGGGACATTTAACACCAGTCTCTCCCGCAAATTACGCACATGCAAATATGTGAGGATTGAGATAAATGGACTCAAAAGCGCATTCATGCCGTTTGTTCATTAGTTTAAACGATTTTTACGAGTGAATTCACATCTGACGCCTAATCATTTGAACATAATGTGACTTCTGAATCTGTTTAGAGGACATCTGTCAAATTCTGCAGCCAGAGAGATCCAAGATCCATTTCAACAGAAGCTCTTTAGTTGGTTCATGTGGTTTTTGAGCTTTAATCTCTTTTGCTTCTATCCAAATGCCTTTGGTCTCTCTGCTTTGATTATCTTACAATCAAATAACCGGATCTGGCCCCTCATATAAGCATGCATTATATAGTTTTTGGATTCGATCTGATGCAGATTGAAGGATATCGATCTTGGCTGATCCATTTTCAGTCGCTTTTCAAGTTGGCCTGTTTGGATTATTGTGAAAACTCAAGTCTACAATCGAGGCATTTCAGGGAGTTCAGAAACAGCGCGCACTGATAGAATAACTCCCTTTGGATATGGCAAGCCGTTTTAACTTTTATTCATTTCTAGGATATGAAGTCTTGATATGAAGAATTCAATTTTTGATAACAAGAATTAAATTTTTGACATCAAAAATTGAATTATTGATATCAAATATTGAATTCTTGATATCAACAATTGTATTTTCACCATAGGCTGCCATTCAAATCCAATTGTTGATATCAAGAATTAATTTCTTACTAGTTGAAATTCCAATTTAATATATCAGAAATACAATTATTACTAGGAAAAACCTAGTAAGAATTCAATTGTTACTAGTTGAAATGTCTGTTCTTGATATCCACAATTGAATTGTTGTAGTAACAATGTTCATTTTTGATATCAATAATTCAAATTTCACTAGAGACAATGTTAATTTCTGATATCATGAATGTGATTGTTGACTAGTAAGAAAGCCATTTTAGATATCTCAGAAATGCATTTTCAGATTTCAAAAATGATCATTTTTACTAGTACAAATTGAATCGTTGATATCAAGAATAGACATTTCAACTAGTGACAATATAATTATTGATATCAGGAATTCACATTTTTACTAGTAACAATGTAATTATTGATATCAAAAATGATATTTCTTCTACTAGTAAATTTATTTACAATTTGTTTTGGTGAAATTTCACTAGTGAAAATACAATTACAGATTTCAGCAATTCAATTGTTGATATCAAAAAATGTAATTGTTGATATCAAGAATTCATATCCTGGAAATGAATAAAAGCCAAAACGGCTTGCCATATTTGGAGTGACTTTGTTCTTTGTAACTTTGCAGACAGTGGCGGCTGGTGAAAATTATAGTAGGGGGGGCTGAATAAGAGGGGGGTCTGGGGGTCCCCCCCCCCCAGAAAATTTTGAATTTAGTAGATGTGATTTCCTGCATTCTGGTGCATTTTAGGCCTTAGGCCATGCCCTTACCTATACCAATAAAATAACTTAAACCAGTCAATACCAATGGTCAAATAATACAATAATAATAATAACAGTTTGACAGTTAATGATAATGAACAAGTTGAATGTTTATTATGCTCTGTGTGCTGACAGAAAAAGTGCAAACGCATAATATTGATAAATTATAATATAGGTAAAACAAAAAATAATAAGTAATACAACAATCTAGTTTAATCAATCCCCAGCTGTAGACTATATATTTTTGACAATTGGATAATGGATAACAATGTGTTGATACTAGAGAAAGAGAGAGAGAAAAGGCTCTGAAAAAGAGCGTGGGACAACGTTCTTGATTGTAACACCCAAGTATGAGAAGAAAGTTGATTTTAACTAGTATTAAACACAGTAATCTAGCTCAGAACTTAAAAACATCAAAAACAAAGCAAACACACAGGTATTAATATTCCTATAACTATTTTAATATCAAATGTGTGTGAAACAGTGTTTATGTGTGTGTGAGTGAGTGAGTGAGTGACAGAGACAGACAGATCAATTCCCACGACTAACTTTACATTATTTCCACTCGACGTCACTGGCGCTGCCATTCTGCTCTCATCTGAGGTAAAAACGTGGTGCGCGTGCACGGTGCACTCCCCTAATCTGATACTGTGGGCGATATTTTCAGCGCCCCAAACCATAAAATTTGACGGCGCTGATTGGCGAAATATAAACTTTTTTGCATAGCAACAGGGGAACCATTGGCTTAAATTCCAGCACTGTGGGGCTGAGCGAACTGGCGCCCTGAGAAGACAGCCTATTGGCTATACTACTACACCAACATGATAAAAGTAACGAAAGTGAATGCAAATATCATTCTGGTGAGTTCAAAACACTTTTAAAAGTAAAACCATTATTAGCATATAATTAACACAGATTATTTTTCAAAATGATAAATTATAATATATATTAAAAAAACAGACAAACAGGTCGGAGGGAGGGCGGCGCCCCAGCGCCCTCTATGGGCGAGCCGCCCCTGTTTGCAGACCTTTTCATGCTCATCCAGCAACGTTACACAGTATAGACATATACTTTTAATTTTTTACAGTGTCATGCAGCGGCCTCACAACAAGCTTAAATGTGCTGAAACTTTCAAAGTGCAATTGCTTTCGGGTGTTTGCTCACTGCTACACAAAAGCCCACAGAGCGGATGACAAACACTGAACTAGCGCACATCCAGTACAATGCTTCTGAAATCTGAATGGACTTTATGTCACAGATTAATGGTGTAGTGCCGCTTATGAGTCACCCTGCTGTTTACGGAAGCTGACGCACATTTGTTTTTTTCGTCCAATTTTGCTTTCTTTTTTATTTAATTGTGTTGGTCCTACCATCATCCATGTGCCAGCGGACCAGGCATACCAAGATAAGATTGTGAAAGGTTCCTGGTTACCAGGGTAATTCTGAATAAGGATGCTGAGGCAGGTGTGATTTAACGCTAGAGATTATTTGTGCACATGTGAATCATCACAGAAAATATTCACTGAACCAGACTCTCTTGTGAATGTTGACACTTCCATTCAGCTGGACAAGATTATGCCTGATCTGAGCTTGAATCTTGCTATATCCTGCAGTTTATCCATCAAAATCAGCCTATAATCTCACACATGTCATGTCTTGTCTCAAACATCTGAATATTTTCAAATCCAACAAGCAAAAAATGGTGTGCTAGATTTTGCTATTAGTGAATGCCAATGTGTTTGTGTAAAAAATGTACACTGTAAAAAATTTGGAGTAGGATTTACTTGAAAAAACCTTGCTAAACTATCTCACTCAGAAAATGCTAGTAAATTTACAAAGATTTGCCAAGTAGTAAAAACCTAAAAAATATTTATCAGTAGCTTAAATTAGAAATCTTTAAGTTAAATTTACTTGGAATATGGAATCAAGTAAACTTTACAAAAATAAGTAATTTTAACTCGACTAGTAAAAGGTTGATTAATATCGATTTCCTTCGCCTTTGTATTAAATTTCACTAAAACATTAATCTATCTTGAATTTTATTAGTTATTTATAGTATGTGCTTTACTTAGATAATCTAAATAATTTATATATACACCATGTCAAACATTAAGTCTCATGTGAATGCAAACACCTCAATACTTGGTAGATAATACACAATGGCGGTAACATTTGATGGGTCGTTTTTGTGTTTGAATGTGTCATTTTGAGCAAATAAATTACTCGAAATGTCACAAAATGGCAAGTTACTACTACTGACAACAAAAATCAATGATAAAACAGTGTAAATACAGCTGGAAACCAGTGAAAAATGAGCCTCATTAATTATTCAAGGTCCAGTGCATGATGGGAACCCCAATATCAGAAAAGTTGAGTAATTTTTACTTAATTTTATTGAGTTGATATTTACACTTTCATTTCTACTCGCTTGAATTAAGTCCTGATATGGAATTTGCTTAGTTTTTTAAATTCTTGGCTGAACTAACTTTTTCAAGTAAATTACATTGGGGTTTTTTCACTAGTATTTACTTCACCAAAAAATCATTTTTTTACAGTGTAGGTAAGGCCTCGATATACTTCGTTTCGGTAGTTTGAAACAGCTTGCAAAAGCGAACTTTCCAGAAAAGCTTATATTTTTCCATAAAACACTTCCATTTTCTCGCACAATATAATCTGTTGAAACCGTCAACAAAATCCAACCTGTTCTCGCGGGAATTCGTACGAATTTTACGACCTCACTTTAGCAAAATCGTACATATTTTACGAATTAGCCAATTCGTATGAATTCGTACGAATGACCTACTCCTGACCCCGCCCCTAAACATAACCGTCACATGGGTTTAGACAAATCGTACGAGTGAGGTCGTACGAATTAGCCACTTTTGAATTACGCGTACGAATTCGTACGAATTGGTCGTGAGATAGCGTAGACAAAATCAGGCAAATTCTGCATAGAATTCTGTACAAAATAGTTTTTTAGCGATACTGAAAGTGATATATCCTTTAAAAAAAGACAATTGAAAGGCGCAAAAGGAAGGCTGACTTCTAAGGATCCTTCAAAATGAGACATCTTTGATGGCACTAGGTGAGCACCCATTGGCATGAACATGAAGCCCACAGAAAGAGTCAGACGAGATATCAAGCAGTGAAAATATGCAATTCTGCTGTACTTTTACAGCTCTGTCGTCTTGGAACGCCTCTCAGCCAATCATATTCTTGGACCACATAAGCCGTATATATCTTTCAAAAGGCACAAATCCTAAACCCAATTATAAAGCCCTCTCCAGATATTATATTTATTTAATCTCTAGTATAAAACCTTTGTCTATAAAGATTATGTTTGCAATTATTTTCCTTATATATAGACATTTGCGCTTCTTTTCAAATGCATGGTGAAAGCTAAACAAAAATGGTTTCCTTTTGTTTGACAACAACATGGGCTACTATTGGTTATTAGTGGTAATTAGAGTGTAATTAACATCAAGTTGCCAAGCACCCTCGCCATGGCAACTATCGGCATTCTCAGAATATTCGAAAGACTCTAAATAAAATGTGTGGGCTTTGATATATTGTGCATATATATATAGTCCGAGTGTGAAAGACGACATGTGTCTCTTGACATCTTAACCCAGTCTACAAATAGACAGCACAGACAAGACTGTTAATGCTCTTTCTTTTATCACCAGACCACCAGGTTGAATTGAACTGTGCTGATTCATTCTCTCTGAATAAGGTTTCTAAAGAGCATCAGGCTCTTTTTATTGGCTGCGGACACTCTCCTCTCGCTTCAGGGAATTGACCGGTTGGAGTGGTGCTTCCATACTGGGACCTTGCCCTTTTCCCCAAACTGTTCTGCGGAGGTCGGATCAATGTTTGACGGAATACGTCCACTCAGCGATGAATCAATGAGCCGCGAAGAAAGACAAAGCGTGTGCTGTGAGGCTATTCGTTTCATAAAAAAAGATTTCACTTCACAAGATTATTATGTAACATGCTACCCTTAAAATGATAGTTCACTTTGAAATACATTTTTGGTATGTGTTAGCTTACCTCAAGGGCATCCAAGATGTAGCTGTCTTTGTTTCCGCAGTAGTTTCAATTTTGGTATTTTTAGGTCAAACCGTTGGTCCATCAGTCATATAATGGAGGTCTATGGTCACCACCTCAAAGAGCATGCACAGAGAAGTCCAAATTAAACATGATTTAATGACTCGTAAATGTAAGTACACATTGATGGCCTAAGACACGAAACGAGCGGTTTGTGTGAGAAAACAAACAGTATTTATTTTGTTTTTACCTCTTGTAACAAGTAGGTTAGGTAGGTAACAAGTCTAGAAATATATAAATACTGTTCGTTTTCTCATTTTAGTTTCAGGCCATCAATGTGTACTTACATTTACGAGTCATTAAATCATGTTTAATTTGGACTTCTCTGTGCATGCTCTTTGAGGTGGTGACCATAGACCTCCATTATATGACTGACAGACCAACGGTTTGACCTAAAAATATCAAAATTGAAAATACTGCGGAAACAAAGACAGCTACATCTTGGATGCCCTTGAGGTAAGCTAAAACATACCAAAAATTAATTTCAAAGTGAACGATCCCTTTAGGAGTATTACTTCCTCCTTTTCCTGAAATCAATCTGTTTTCAAACACAGAGCAGCGTGATATATTTGATTAATGATGCATCTTTTGCAGCACAGCTAAGTTAATTGTCATATCTGAAAATGTGTGAGAATTGATGTGGTGATACTGTCGGAAAGTCTCTTTGACCCTGTTTCTGTCTGTTACTGAAGAAACTGTAATTACTTTAGACATTCCTCTGTGAACTCTTAACAGATTTAATTAGGTTTTACAGGCTCGTTTTGAGTGAGCAATGGACCGTAATGAAACACTTCCCTTCGTAAAAACCTATGGCTGGGTATATTGATGGATTACCAATTTGATTTGGAGGGAATCATTTAGCAGGGAGTCTAGCACAAGCACAAGACCTGTCATAAGAATCATTTGTTCGCGAATCAGACTTCACTGGTCGCATTGTTTGTTTTTGCGTTCAGCTCGTGAGCACCGTTTAGTGGAACAATATTACAGTATGTATCACTATCAACTTTCTATAGATAACAGATAATTGCTACGTATTAGATATTGTTTACAATCCGATTATTTGCCTACTCTTGGGATAAGTTGATGAGAAATGTTTAATTTTATTTTATATTGTTGGGAGATTTGCATATTGGACGAAGATCCTGGGGTTGAGAGCAAAGAAATACCAGAAATGATGGATCTTTACTCACTTTGGAGTGTTTTTTTGGTGAGATTGCATTTATGGTTTCCACATTGTGTACACAGATGAGGTCTGTTCTCCTGGATGGGACGGATTGGTTTGCTGGCCGCAAGGTTCCCCAGGAACCGTAACCAAAGTCCTGTGTCCTGGCTATGTGTACGACTTCAACCACAAAGGTACATGACAGCAAAACTCTTTTTAGAAAATTTCACCAGATCTTGTCAAATTGTTTTATATCTTCATTTTCTTAGGATTTGCATACCGTCAATGCGACATGAACGGCTCATGGGTATCGGTGGAGAACAGAACTTGGGTCAATTATTCAGACTGTCTGCGGTTCTTGGCTCCAGGCATCGAAAAGGACAAAGTAAGTCCAATTAAACAGGCTGGAAGAGGTTATTGTTTCAAAGTTTCAACTTTCAAAATCATTCAAGAGTCACTTTTTGATTTTAATGCTCAAATGAGATGTAATTAGGTTTGTGTCTCATGACAGATGTTTAATGAAGTCCAAAAGTCTTGGGAAATGTTTAAAGGGATAGTCCACTTTGAAACTAATTTTTGATATGTTTTAGCTTACCTCAAGGGCATCCAAGATGTAGGTGTCTTTGTTTCTGCAGTTGTTTCAATTTTGATATTTTTAGGTCAAACCGTTCTTGTCTATCAGTCATATAATGGAGGTCTATGGTCACCACCTCGAAGAGCATGCACAGAGAAGCCCAAATTAAACCTGATTTAATGACTCGTAAATGAAAGTACACATTGATGGCCTAAGACACGAAACGAGCGGTTTGTGTGAGAAAACGGACAGTATTTATATCGTTTTTACCTAAAAAACGATAACAAGTAACAAGAGGTAAAAACGAAATCACACAAACCGCTCGTTTCATGTCTTATGCCATCAATGTGTACTTACATTTACGAGTCATTAAATCATGTTTAATTTGGACTTCTCTGTGCATGTTCTTTGAGGTGGTGACCATAGACCTCCATTATATGACTGATCGACACGAACGGTTTGACCTAAAAATATCAAAATTGAAAATACTGAGGAAACAAAGACACCTACATCTTGGATGCCCTTGAGGTAAGCTAAAACATACCAACAATTAATTTCAAAGTGGACTATCCCTTTAAGGATGTCTAGCAAAAGATCAAGTTTCGTTCATTGACGACTCAAGTGGTGTTGTGTTTTCAGAGGGACTTTTTCGAGCGGCTGCACATCATGTACACAGTCGGCTACGCTGTGTCCTTCAGCTCGCTGCTAGTCGCCATTTTCATCATTGGATACTTTCGGTAATTGAACATCAGTCACATTTTCATACCGAGCAGGCTTTTGTCCCACCTGGCAAGTTAAAGAAACACTAAGTTGCACAGCAAGCAAGTACAAGTATGATTGGCTGCTGTTTAGGCATTCAGGCGGGACTGTCTCAGGTCTTCTTCTTTAAAGAGCTTCAGAAATTAAATTAGCTGAAGAGTTCCCCAGTGAGTTTCTGCTATAACTGATACAACTTTGCTTTTTTTTTTCAATTTGAAAGGCTCCAGTGAAGGGTTTTATTGAGCCCACATATATCGGATAAAGGCACGATTTATTTTTTTAACAAAATATTATGTGAAAACTAAAACCATAAAAAACATTTACAGTACTTGAAATAAAATAAACATTAACTGAAATATGATCAAATTAATTTTTGGTATGTGTTAGCTTACCCCAAGTGCATCCAAGATGTAGGCGTCTTTGTTTCCGCAGTAGTTTCAATTTTTATATTTTTAGGTCAAACCGTTCTTGTCTGTCAGTCATATAATGGAAGTCTATGGTCACCACCTCAAAGAGCATGCACAGAGAAGTCCAAATTAAACATGATTTAATGACTCGTAAATGTAAGCACACATTGATGGCCTAAGACACGAAACGAGCGGAGAGGTGGTGACCATAGACCTCCATTATATGACTGATTGACACGAACGGTTTGACCTAAAAATATCAAAATTGAAAATACTGTGGAAACAAAGACACCTACATCTTGGATGCCCTTGAGGTAAGCTAAAACATACCAAAATTTAATTTCAAAGAGAACTATCCCTTTAAATTGAAGTACTGAATTAACTAAAACTATAAACTAAAATTTAATAAAATAACTTGATAAAAAAACTCAAATATTAACAAAAATCAGTGATTCTAAACACTGATATGAAGGTCAACGCAAAACTGCATCCATCATTTATTAGCTTTTCAAATGTCTTTTAAGCTTTTATTGCTATAGACCTTTGACGTTCAATCTTGAAATATTAAAATCCTTCATAAAAAGACAAAGAAGTTGACCCTTTTATTCCACACATTTTTGAATTTTCATTTCCACCACCTCAGAATGAATGACATATGGCGGAAATGACATTTATCCATACCAGTTTAGGAGGGCAAATATAAAAAATATAAGATGGGAGGAAAAATATTTGTCAATGCTTTTGCGTTCTCTCATTTTGGAAATGTTTTGTGTTCCCCTCAAGAATCTTTGGATTTGCTCGCAAATAACACAAAAGTCTTGCAAGTGAACCCAATGTTTCTCTGAAAAACGCAAAGGTTTGGCTTAATATTTTTGGGGATTTTGTGTGATAAACATACTTGTTCTCTCTTTTTGTCTCCCAGGCGTCTGCACTGCACCAGAAACTACATTCACATGCATTTATTTGTGTCTTTCATGCTGCGTGCGGTCAGCATTTTTGTAAAAGATAGAGTGGTTTATGCTAATGGCGTCCTACAGGAGTACGACACCATGCTAATGGACAACATCAGCACCGTCTCCATTTCCCATCTTGACAAGACTCAGTATGTGAGTGCAATGAGTTTAATGATATTTTTGTTGAGATGAGTTGAACTAGTTTTGGCAACAATGACTTTAATTAACTTGAGTTGACACAACTTAAATTAGCTATAACTATACTGCTATTTGGCCATTCATTCATGCATGCACTGTAGTAAATTACTGCATTGAAACTCAATTAGAGACTAATGCTGCCTTTAAAGGAGTAGTTCACTTTTTTTTTTTTTTTTAATTTCCTGATAATTTACTCACCCCCATGTCATCCAAGATGTCCACGTCTTTCTTTGTTCAGTCGAAAAGAAATTAAGGTTTTTGATGAAAACAGTCCAGCATTTTTCTCCATATAATGGACTTCAATGGGGTCCAAACGGTTCAAGGTCCAAAAGACAGTTTCAGTGCAAAATGTTCAAAGGGCTTTAAACGATTCGAGACGATGAATAAGGGTTTTATCAAGTGAAACGATCGCTCATTTAATAAATAAATAACAAAGTTTACGTTTTTTAAGCACAAATGCTCGCCTTGCTCTGTTCTGTGACGCACGTTTGTGACTCTCCTGTTTGAACTCGTTCATCAAGAGTCAATTCGTTCATTCCGTTCTTTGAATGAACCAAATGACTCGAAAATCCGTATGAGCTGCCATTGTGGTTTTGTATGGTTTCGCGGGCTATGTGACGTCAGAGCTCGTAACTGGGACTACATCGACCTATTCGAGTTCACGGGTGGGAAGTCACGGGTATAAGTTTGGAAAAACACGGGTTACAGGTTGCCTGGAACACAGCATAAAACTAAATGTCACATTTACCGTTTTTACGCAAATTTCGCAGGCGAAATCCACTCGTTTTAATAGAAATCACACGAACGGGAATTTTGTGCGAGGGCTGAAAGATTTCCCCAAATTTTCGTGCTTCATACTCTATTTTGTCCGCAATATTTCACAGAAATTTTACTAATCTGACCTCATTTTTAGAACGCTAATTCATATCCGTTTGCGGCAAGAATTGAAAAACGGTGTGATCACGACTCCTCTAATTTTGTTCTCGGTATTTTTCCGCCATGATAGATATTTTTTTTTTTTAGAGTTTCCTTTTTAATATGGCATTCCTGCTCGTAAATATGATCAGTCTGACTTATAGGCAGCAACAATGAGCTCTTGTGTTGTGATTGGTTGATCAAAGGTTTCTGATTGGCTGAAGCTAACGTTGTTTGTATTTTCAGTTTGGCTGCAAGATCACGGTCCTATTCTTCATTTATTTCCTGGCTACCAACTACTACTGGATCCTAGTGGAGGGCCTGTACCTTCACAGCCTCATTTTCATGGCGTTCTTCTCCGACTCCAAATATCTTTGGGGTTTCACCCTTATAGGGTGGGGTAAGTGTGCATTTTCAGATCAAATGGAGGTTGATTTGGTTTTTAAACATTGTTTACTTCGCCATGGCCAGACCTAGCCAATTTCACAGCTTGTTATGATTTCTCGTCTGTATCTGCTTCCCAAAATCTGCTGCCCTTTCAGGCATAAACACATATTTAAAGCCGTATTTATACTTTATGTTTGATGCATAATACTCGCCTGGCAAGCCGAGCAGACATCTTTGAAGTGCAAATACTTCGGTCCTCTCGTTCTTATATACTTTGTTGAAAGCCGAATGACAGGGAAGCCCAAACAGGTTTGTTCTACTTTAAAACAGATTAACAATGACACAGAGCGCAGGATCAACTACTTTAAAGTCAACAGTAATGTGCATTACTTAAGCAACGTATTGATGTTGTGAACATATTAATGTATCATCATAATAATAATGCATAATTAATGTCCCCGGCATCGATGTGTTTGCCGGAGAGTCAGCACCTAATGAGGGCAACATTTTCATATTCAAGCACTCCCAAACATCAGATCAAAAAAACATGTTTGCTGAGGTTTAATGTAGGCTTTTTCATAATTAATAAATATTTATCTGTATTTAGAGACACATCCTCATAAATCAATGAGCTACAGTAGTAATAAACTATGATTTAAGAGGTTGAGGTAATATATATATATTAATTTACATATACGTAAGATTGAATCATTTATTTATTTAAAATATATAATCTGAAAATATGTATTGTTGATAAATACTATTGACATTTAATATTTTATATAATCATATTTTTAGATACAATTATTAAAGCAAGAAAATTCATGATATTCACTTTTGTCAGAATATGGCTGAAAAAAAAAACATTGACTAAAATATATATTATTATATGAAACATTATAGAAATCATGTTACATAAAAATATGTAGATTTTATATTTATATTTTAATGGCTGCTGATGGAGGAATCACGAATAACCGCGATTAATTGCATCCAAAATAAAAGTTTGTGTTTACATAATATATGTGGTTGTAGTGTGTATATTTTGTATATTATATATAAATACACACACATACATGTATATTTAAGAAAAAAATATGATTTATGTATAAAATATTTATATTTATATATAACATAAATTATATATAAATCTATATACAGTATGAAAATATTTCTTAAATATATACAAGCATGTGTGTGTATTTATATATATAGAAATAATTATACACACTACACACATATATATTATGTAAACACAAACTTTTATTTTGAATACGATTAATCGCGATTAATCGTTTGACAGCCCTAGTTAAAACATCTAACCTTGCCCTTGAAGGCTCAGCCAATAGTATGAGTTTGGGGTGGGACTATGTGTTTGTTTGACCAATGGCAGATAAGGGGAGTATTTGAGTTTGTGTCTGCACAGAAATGACAGACTTCTCATTTTGATTTATCATCCAGAGCGTGAAGAAGTCTTTCAGGGACTCTTGATTTGTAGGATCCGAACGGTTCAAAGCAAAACAAATCGAAAATTGAGTTGTTCCGGTAAATCTGTGGCAAGTGTCGGGCATGCTTCTGTGCTTGTGCGCGGCATTAAAGTTGATAAATCTTGTCCTTTTCTAATCTGTGCGACTGCAGGTGTTCCGGCTCTCTTCGTGTCAACCTGGGCTGTCGTCAGGGCAACGCTGGCGGATGTAAGGTGCGTTTTCAATATAATCCAGCCTTCTCGGGTAATGTAAATAAGACACACACACACACACACTATAACATTTCAAATAATATCACTCTTTCTCTCTAAGGTGTTGGGAGTTGAGCGCTGGCAATATTAAATGGATATACCAAGTTCCAATACTGACAGCAATAGGGGTGAGTTGGTACTAATTTGGGTAAGTTCACCCAAAAATGAAAATGATGTCATTAATGACTCACCCTCATGTCGTCCCAAGCCCGTAAGACCTCCGTTCATCTTTTAAGATATCTTTAGATTTAGTCAGAGAGCTTTATGTCACTCCATTGTAAATGTGTACAGTATACTGTCCTTGTCCAGAAAGGAAATAAAGACATCATCAAAGTCGTCCATGTGACATCAGTGGGTTAGTTACAATGTTTTGAAGCATCGAAAATACATTTTGGTCCAAAAATAACAAAAACCACGACTTTATTCAGCATTGTATTGTCTTCCGGTTCTGTTGTTGATCCGCGTTCAAACGATTAATCGCGATTAATCGCATCCAAAATAAAAGTTTGTGTTTACATAATACAGTATACTGTATGTGGATGCACTGTGTATAATTATTTTATACATATATATATTAGGGCTGTGCAAAAATTAATTGCAATTAATCGCATCCAAAATAAAAGTCTGTGTTTACATAATATATTTGTGTGTGCTGTATGTAATTATTTTGTATATAAAAATACCTATGCATGCATGTATACATTTAGGAATTATTTGCATTTAAATTATTTATATAAATAAATAATCTATATTTTATATATATATAAATATTTTATATATGAATAACACATTTTCTTAATATACATGCATGTGTGTGTATTTATATATACAAAATAATTATACACAGCACACACAAATATATTATGTAAACACAGACTTTTATTTTGGATGCGATTAATCGCAATTAATTTTTGCACAGCCCTAATATATATATATATATATATATATATATATACATGCTTGTATATACTTAAGAAATATTTTCATGTATATACGATATATAGATTTATATAGGCTATAATTTATGTTATATATAAATAAAAATATTCTATGGATAAATAATATATTTTTTCTATAAATATACATGCATGTGTGTGTATTTATACTGTATATATACAAAATAATTATACACAGTGCACCCACATATATTATGTAAACACAAACTTTTATTTTGGATGCGATTAATCGCGATTAATCGTTGAACAGCCCTACTGCTGATGTGTATCTGGTGTGTCCGTGTATTCAGGTTCAAATAAAAATAGCTGGGCAAAAAAAATTCGATTCTTCCTCTGTGTGGAAATCCTTAGACATGTTTGCGAAGATTTTGTTTACAGCGTGCGTCTCCCCCAGACTGTAACTGAACTCGGCCGCACCAGATACGCGTCAGCGGCGCCATACGTCATCAGCGTTACCTTCCGGCCTTGGAAGGCAGCGTTTATCAGTTTTCGGACGCTGCCTATGTAACATAGGAGTCCTCATGGGACACCAAATTGCATCATATTTGTATAAGTGGCATCAAAGCTGTTGTTAAGTGCGACACCATCAGACACAGCTGTTTTCCCATTAACCCCCGGATTCAACCCCGCGCCCTGAACACCATACGCTCTGAAAGAGATTGTAAAATCCTGTAATCCATCATGTCAAAGGGTCGATTTGGATTGCGGCATACTGTCTTTTGTTGACGTGATTGACCAGTTAGTGGTTCCATGCATATATTTATCTGCTGGATGGACAGACGGAGACATTATGTTGTTAATTATTGGCTTTGCTGAGCGTAAGCGCTTCCCTCAGTAATGGAGCTCTGATTTCAAGAACGTCTGGACGGTCGCGCAGCAGGAGAGCTGTAATTATGCGACAGTATGCAAATGTATTTTTGGTCCTCGCCGCCTGTCAGCAAAAACATATAAATTAGGATTTAACTCATTTGCTCACAAAGCGCTCATTACTAACAATTTCTATGGTGTATTGATTGGGACGTCCAAACAGAGTAGCTGGGAATATGCAAAACCTGTTGATGCTTTCACGGCTCGGATACGACAGACGCTCATCACAGATTGACGGAATAATTCGTATGCGAGAAATAGAAGCAGAATGAAATTAGCGTTTTTAGTGTGTTTAACTAGTTAATTAAAATTGTCCAACAGGAGAATTCTGTCACAAATCTTAATTAATGTAATAGCAATTTGAGTGGAAATTACACTTCAACACCTTTGGAATAAAATGGCTTAATTATCCGGCTGATGGTAATTTCACAATTAAATAATATTTTCAGTCAATTATTTGACAAAATTTCAGCTTGATTGGAAATGACAGGCGATAATAGGCTTTTCACAACTGATATTTACCTTGATTTTTCTTAACATATCACAATATCTCAGTCTCTCGGTTTCTTTAAATTGTCCGGCTGGAGAATTAAATATATGTGCATGTGTGTAAATACTGTATAATATACATTTTTTATAACAATATAATATTATAGAGGTATATATCCAATAATATTTCATATATTAAACTATTTTTAAATATAGTATATGTTTTTTCACATTTACATTATGTTCATCATCATTTTTATAAATATTTTGTACATGTATGCAAAGTGTTTGACCTAGAGGCCGACCGATAAAGGATTTTGAAGGCCGATAACGATACAAATATTTGTTGGTTTTTAAAATCCGATATTCCGATATATCGGCCGATATATCGGTTATTTCAGAAACGCGCAACAAAATATTGAGTTAAGAGAACTGGGAATGTTCTTTAATAGTTATTAAAGCAATGTATGTCTCGTGACCAACTCACCATGAACACACTTCACCGCTTATCTCACTCGCAGATAACAGGTTACATGATGTGTGGCGCGTTATACACGAATGTTGCCAACAGGGGCGGTGTAGAGTGCCCTCTGGTGGACAAACTATACAACTCCAACACTCATGACATGGTTCAAGCGTGATTCGTCCGTTTTTATTTTATTTTTGAAATATTCATTTATCGGCCACCGATATTTTAGAAATTGCCTAATATCGGCCGATAATATCGGCCTGCCGATATATCGGTCTGGCTCTAGATCCCGTCCCTGTTGGCAATATATATATATCACCATCCCTGTTGGCAATATATATATGAAGAGTTTGGTTCCAAAACGCGATAAACGCCATTTTTAAAAAAAATGAGTTACTGCAAAAATCTGACTTTTCAATACCGACCAGACAAAACAATGTTTAATTTTACGTAAAATGGGATATCCGCCGTGTTATTATGTAATGTTTTCTCCCTTTCTTTCCAAACCGCGACAAACGCCAGTCTCCCTTTTCTGCAAAATGCCACATATCCGCTAAACCAATCACAACGCACCATTCCACGCAATGTAAACAGTAACGGCAGCGCTTTAACTAACCCGGCTTCCTAGGTTTTCTCTATTTTGTCCTTTCGATCAACAAACAAACAAAAAAAATGAATAATTTTGACAGCATTGGTGAACCTGCGGAGGGTAAGGCATCCTGCATGGGTAAACGTGACATCGAAATCGAATCATTTACGTGAGGAAGAAGATGGACTCAGGAGGAGGAAATGCCGGCTGTTGCTTGTTCTCACACGACAGCATCAAACTTCTGTCACGCTGACACACTGACCCCCAGAGGATCTTTTGGAAAACTTTCAGTTGTTTTATTCAAAGTCAACGAAAACCGAGCAGGACCAAGCCAGTTTACAGCTGATCGCCGTCAAAAAAGTTCAGCGGCGACGTCCCAAGGTTGACAACAGCGATATGCATAACGTTAGATCATGCTTAATAAATCATAATTCATGATGATGTGCTCGTCTTAGTTAATGTTTTAATTTAGGTTTTGTTCATCCATGAAGTCATGAATGAAAAACGTTGAACTGTTAAAAAAAAAAAACGTTGATAGTCCCTGATGATATAATATGAATTAATGCATAATTCATTTATCCATGAATTCATGATAATTCATGACATGAACCCTTAAAGTGTTACCGAATATTGTTATATTAAAGCAATGGATTTATAGTATGCACAAGAAATTCAATGTCTATAAAATTTTATTTTGATTAATTGCATTTTGAAAAAAAATAAATTATTGGATTTATTGCATTTTGGGGAAAAAACGATCTGTTTTTATAATAAATCTTTGGAAATCAAAACCTGGATTTCATTTTTGATTGTTATTATAACCTACAAATGCTATGTGAAAATTTGAAACCGAAAATAGTGGTTTTCATCTTCCCATTTTCTTGCTAAAGAAAACACAGTTTTACTCAAATTCATCAAAATGGATTTATAGCGTTTTGGAACCAAACTCTTCATATATATATACACACATACATATTTTTATTCTCAAAAAGATTATTTTTATTATATTATTCAGTATTATTTTATCTGTACATACAAAATGTTTGAACCTTTTCTTCTTCTTTTCTTCTTAATACAATTCTGAATTAATCGTTGTTTCCTTTTTCTTTCTTGCAGCTGAATTTCATTCTATTTGTTAATATTGTTCGAGTTCTGGCCACTAAGATCCGAGAAACAAACGCCGGACGGTACGACACGCGTAAACAGTGCAGGTAGGTGCATGAAATTATTGTTATGCTGGTACGTGACCTCATATGAAGAGCTGAACTGGAGGATATTGGATTCGGGGTTGTTTTGTTCACCTGTGACAAATTATAAAATAAACTCAAACTGTGTAAATGTACAGGTGCTATTTTATAATATATCATATGTTTATACCAGCCAATGCTGCGGCTCAATTCTGTTTTGCTGTGTTCTTGTGGTTGTTTTTTGTGGGGTGGAGTGTTTGGACATCATTGGTGAGATATCCAGAAGAGGACTGTAATTTTCCAAAGGGTGTTTGAAAGGCTTTCTCTTCTCAGAGAGAGAGAGAGACAGAGAGGCTTTCATTAATAGCATATCTCGCTCTGGGTAAGAGTCACAGTATCCCTGCCTAATAATCTGCGAGTGGAACTGACTGTAAGATCAGTCTCTTATCATAGCTCACGTTTATCAAGCAAATCCTTATAATCTGTGATGATAAACTCTTTATTGATCCTCAACACTGAAGTGGTGCGTACACAAAAGAATTCACCAACACGATGGGTGTTCTGAGTTGTTGTTAGGGAGTTCTAGCTGGTTGCTAGGGTGTTCCGAATGGTTGCTAGGGTGTTCCGAATGGTTGCTAGGGTATTCTTGTTGGTTGCTAGGGTGTTCTTGGTGGTTGCTAGGGTGTTCTCGTACTTTAAGTAATTTCAACTTAAATTACAACAAATTGACTTTAAAAAAAATGAGTTGAATCTTGTAAATCTTACAAAAAAGTTGAAATTGCTTAACTTATTTTGATGAGTTAAAGCCATGTAAAACGTATGATTATGGTTAATAATGATTGTGGGAGGGGTGGTTTGAATGGTTGCCCTGTCGATGTTACATTTTGGTTTCCAGTTAATTTTGTAAATAAACATTGAAGGAAATTACTGGAATTAATCCCAAATCATGCCGAAAAGCATTAGAGCCCCTTCTAGAGAGCACTTTAAACCTACAGGGGTGTGAGATCCTAAAGTAAAATTAATACAGGCAATAAAAAGCCATTAATGACGTTCTGGATGAACGGGCACAGTCCCGCTTTACTATTAATGAGAGTTGAACTTATGCTCTGAACTTGAAGTAATTAAGCAATTTACATTGGATCTGAACTCAGTGCAATTCTCCTCATCATCCATAACCCTTTATTTGAGGGAATGAAAATACTCGACTCAACTTTTCTCATTTTCTGGCCTGTAATGCGATGATAAGCCTTAAGAGAGACTCTCACGCTCTGGGTCTCGCTCTCATTTCATCTTCAATCTCTCAGCTCTCAGTGCTGAGACGTAGTTTTTTTAGAGGATGTTTTAGGAAGTACTTTGGCTGTACCATGGTATATTTGCTATAATATAAGCTCTCTTCCTTCGTGTAACGGTGTTAAAGCCATAGTTGGAAGCTTGTTGCTGCCACAGAAAAACACATTTTAAAAGATAATTGCGACTTTTTATCTCACAAAAAATGGTGTACATGGTGGCCATAAAGGGATGGACATGGTCAGAAACAATGCTCTGGTAGGCCGTGGCATTTAAACGATGTCCAATTGGCACTAAGAAGCCTAACGTGTGCCAAGAAAACATCCCCACACCATTACACCACCACCACCAGCCTGCACAGTGGTAACAAGGCATGATGGATCCATGTTCTCATTCTGTTTACGCCAAATTCTGAATGTCTCAACAGAAATCGAGACTTATCAGGCCAGGCAACATTTTCCCAGTCTTTCAACTGTCCAATTTTGGTGATCTCTTGCAAATTGTAGCCTCTTTTTCCTAGTTGTAGTGGAGATGAGTGGTACCCGGTGGGGTCTTCTGCTGTTGTAGCCCATCCGCCTCAAGGTTGTGCGTGTTGTGGCTTCACAAATGCTTTGCTGCATACCTCGGTTGTAACGAGTGGGTATTTCAGTCAAAGTTGCTCTTCTATCAGCTTGAATCAGTCGGCCCATTCTCCTCTGACCTCTAGCAAGTCATTTTCACCCACAGGACTGCCACATACTGGACGTTTTTCCCTTTTCATACCATTCTTTGTAAACCCTAGAAATGGTTTGTGTGTGAAAATCCCAGTAACTGAGCAGATTGTGAAATACTCAGACCGCTCAAAATTGCTTAAATCACTTTTCTTTCCCATTCTGACATTCAGTTTGGAGTTCAGGAGATTGTCTTGACCAGGCCACACCCCTACATGCATTGAAGCAACTGCCATGTGATTGGTTGATTAGATAATTGCATTAATGAGAAATTGAACAGGTGTAACGGCAGTGAAAAGTGACCAGCATCAAGCTTTTTTAAAAACGTATCAAAGAAAGATCCCATGCGACACATGTCCTGTAATTCTGGGGATATATGAAATTAAATTTAAAAGTATTATTTAGCAAAAACCCTGACCTTGGTTGTTGTTTATCTGTGCACGGCTGCACGTTTAAGAGACTCTTAGTTTGAAAATAGTGATGGAAAAATGTCTGTCTGTGTCTGTCCAGGAAGCTTGCCAAGTCCACATTGGTTCTGGTTCTGGTTTTCGGCGTCCACTACATCGTGTTTGTAGGAATGCCGCACACGTTCACAGGACTTGGTTGGGAGCTGCGCATGTACTGTGAACTCTTCTTCAACTCTTTCCAGGTGAGTTACTGACTAATCTATTTCTAATGACTAATGTTAATTATAATTATGTGTCAGTTTTCAATTCGGCTGGCATGATAAATAACTGCACTCATATTTTTTAAAAGCATTTTGATGCTTATTTATGGACAGTGTGAACTGCAAAACTAATAACGGCAAATGAAATAAATTAAAGATGATATACGGAATAATTGAATAGATAAAATAAATGAAACTAAAATTACCTTGTTGCCGAAGCTCTTCACTCTTCTGTCTTTCCTGAGAAATAAAAGTTTCAATGAATACAATTAAAATAAAAGAAATGTAATTAAAAGTTTGTGCAGTGAAAGATTCGTAGATTACATTAAAAGTTGGTGCTGGAGTTCATCAGAAGTGTTTCTTCTTTGCTTTTCTGTCTTACCTGTGAAATAAAGATTAAAATATATAAAATTACATTGAAATTAATTACATTTGAACTTGGTGCTGGGATGAAGCAGAAGCTTTTTTATAGTTTGTCTGTCTAAAAATAAATGTCATTAAAATAAAATAAATTAAAAGTTTGTACTTAAAAGTTCGCTCCAATAAAAAATTTAATAAATTAAAACAAAATTGGTTCTTCTTTGCTATTCTGTGAAATAAAGATTAAAATAAATAAATATTTACATTTTATACATTTTGAATTTTTTAATAAAAAATGCTGCTGATATGCATCAGATTTTGTTTTTTGCATCTGTCTTTTTTATATGAGAATAAAATTAATATAAATTAAATGAAAAATAAAAAATCGGTACTAAGTAAATTAGAAGTTTTTTCTTTGCTTTTCTGTCTTTCCTGTGAAATAAAAGCCAAAAAACTAAATATTTATACTTATTTTTAAGAATAGGTCTAAATATTTAGATTCGGGCATGTATTAATGAATAATTGAATTATATATTTATAATAAATATATGCATTGATAAATGAAATAGCAAAACCAGATATACACTACAAGAGAAAAAAATTAATAATGAACAAGTTTGGCAAGAAACTTTCTCTGACTTCTGAAATTGGTGGTTATTGCTCTCTTTCAGGGATTTTTTGTGTCCATTATCTACTGTTTCTGCAATGGAGAGGTAAGTGTGGGTGGAACAACATTAATATTTTAAATAGACACATATTGAAAGTGTTCCTGTCAAAGATTTTAAAGTCAGTCCACAACACTGGTGTCTATCCCAAGGTCCAGACTGAAATCCGGAAGACTTGGCTCCGTTGGACGCTTGCGTTTGACTGGAAGGTTCCTGTAGTTTTAGCCAACTACCGCTACGGGTCGGTCCTGAACAGCAGCGTCCAGTCCCAGCTGACCTCGGTGACCCGCAGTTCTGCCCTCCTCACCAGCAGGGTGTACCGCTGCGCCGGTCGAACCAGTGTCAGCACACACGCCTCGCATATACACACCACCTTGCCCGGGTACGTCTTCAGCAGCTCGGACATTGAGAGCCTTCCGCCTTCGATTCCGGAGGAAATCGACGAGGAGGCCAAACACATCGATGACATCACGCTCAAAGAAAGCGCTAAACGCGTTAACGGCATCTCTGTACGACGGGAAGCCCTCAGCATCTGCTTCGAAGAGAGTGGACAAAGCACAACCCACGTGGATTCTGATGACATCATAACGAGGGACGATGACGCCACCCCTAAGGAAATCGCTAAACGCACTGATGACATCACGCGGAAGGATTCTTTATATGTGAGGTACTATAGTTTGGATCAAGAGGATGAGGAAGTACTTTAAAAAGCAGACTCAATTTAAAGTGAATCGCCATTTGCAACCTATTCACTGTAGTCAACCTAAAAGGAAATGAGAGCTTGGGCGGGAAAGTAGGACACGGATTGATTCACTGTAAGACCCAGAATTTACATGGGGTCTATTTTGATTTAATTCTCGCATGCCATTTGCAACCCATTTTACTTTCGTAATATGACGTATTTACAATTGAATCAGGATATTCAACAACAAAAAAACTGGACATTTTCCTTCAGGAATTTATTGGATCTTTTAGAATGACATGCACTGAGTTATAAGACCCAGAATGTGTATCAGGAAGGTAAATAGGGTCCAATTTGATTTAATGCTTAGCTTCTTCAAAAAATCAAAATGACTTGCCATTTGCAACCCATTTTACTTCTGTAATGTGACGTACTTACCATTGAAAAGGGATATTCAGTAAAAAACCTGAATGTGATCCTTTCTGGAATTGACTGGATTGTCAAAATTGGTCATACATACCAAAATGGAGCCAAAAATGCTAAATAGCACCGCCTAAGATGTCAGCGTAAAAGGAAAGTCGCTTCAGAAAGAAGAGCTAGTTTTGGGTGTGGGGTTGGGGGGTATTTCTTTGGAATGACATGTATTGATTCATAGTAAGACCAAGAATGTGTATTAAAGTAATACTCCACTTTTTTTGGAAATAGGCTCATTTTACCACTTCCCCAGAGTTAAACAGTTGGGTTTTACCGTTTTCGAATGTATTCAGCCGATTTTCACATATTTAGAAGAATATCAGTAACCAGGCAGTTTCTGGTCTCATTGACTTCCATAGTATATTTTTTTCCTACTATGGAAGTCAATGAGACCAGAAACGATCTGGTTACTGATATTCTTCTAAATGAATGGATTCGAAAATCGTAAAACTCGACTGTTTAACTCTGGGGGAGTTGTAAAATGAGCCTATTTCCAAAAAAAAAAGTGGAGTATCCCTTTAAGAAAGTAAATGCGGTTAATTTCGATGTAATGCTTACTTCAAAATAGCACAATTAAAGGAGTAGTTCACTTTTAAAAAAACTTTTGCTGATAATTTACTCACCCCCATGTCATCCAAGATGTCCATGTCTTACTTTCTTCAGTCGAAAATAAATTAAAGTTTTTGATGAAAACATTCCAGGATTTTCTCCATATAATGGACTTCAATGGGAACCAAACGGTTCAAGGTACAAAAGACAGTTTCAGTGCAAACTGCAAACTGTTCAAAGGGCTTTAAACGATTCCAGACGATGAATAAGGGTCTTATCAAACGAAACGATCGCTCATTTAATAAATAAATAACAAATTTTAAGTTTTATAAGCACAAATGTTCGTCGTTTGTGACTCTCCTGTTCGAACTTGTTCATCAATATGAAAAAGAAAAAAGATTTGTTCATTTTGATTAACGAGTTCGAACAGGAGAGTCACAAACGTGCATCACAGAACAGAGCAAGGCGAGCAAAACTTAAACTTTGTTATTTTTATTTTTTTTAATGAGCGATCGTTTCGCTTGATAAGACCCTTGTTCATCGTCTGGAATCGTTTAAAGCCCTTTGAACAGTTTGCGGTTTGCACTGACACTATCTTTTCGACCTTGAACCGTTTGGTGCCCACTGAACTCCATTGTATGGAGAAAATCCTGGAATGTTTTCATCAAAAACCTTAATTTCTTTTCGACTGAAGAAAGACAGACATGGACATCTTGGATGACATGTGGGTGAGTAAATTATCAGCAAAAGTTTTTTTTTTAAAAAAGTGAACTACTTTTTACTTTTTAATACTTTTTAACCCATTTTACTTCCATAATGTGACATTTACAATTAAAACAGGACATTCAACAAATAAACCTGGATTTTAACTTTCAGGAATTGATTGGATTGTCAAAACTGGTCATATACCAAATATGAAGCCAGACTTCAATGTGAGTTTGCTAAGAATGTATATTAAGAAGTAAACGGGGGCCATTTTGATTTCATCTTTACTTAAAAAATTATCGCAAGCCAGTCAAACAGAGGCTAAACGTGTTGTATAATGCATGAAAATACTGGTTTTGGTTTGGATCAACTGGTTTCACTCATTTCTAGGCCCAGTTTGCGAGAAAGACTAATTTCTTTGCTGGAAATTAGCATCATCGCTCTGCCGTACAAGATTGTTTACGTCGCTTGGTAAATTAAGTGTGTGTAAATATTTCCTTCGCAAAGTGTCACTCTGTGTTTTTTTTGCGATCGAATGATGTTGTTCAGTCAAACAATGCAATTCATTCACGAAACTCAAGCTGAATGAATTTCCGAGCGAGTGTCATGTTCTTAGTTTATGTTTGTAAAATTGTTCGCCAAACCATTTGTGCTTAAGTTGGTTTTACCAATAAATTGAAATATGTGTTTTATGACCCAATGTTCAGAGTTCTGCTTTGCGAAGTAAGACTTCGATTATGCTTTTAGTAAGACAATCGGTTGGTCGCTGCTTGGCATGAATGTTTTATTGTACAAATTGTACGGTTTTCCAGTAAATGTTTTTCTTAAATTGTTTTAAATGTATTAAGGCTTCACGCAAAGGTGTAATAAACGCAATTAATCATACATTGTATTTCAGTATATGAACTAAATAAAAATGCCAAGAACACAGAAATAAGTATATAACACATTGTAATATCGTTAAAAAATATCAAAAAGATTTGATACATTTGATAAATTTGATTTGGACAGCTTCTAAAATGTAAACCCTTTTACGTATGTACAAATCTTTACAAATAAGCAAAGATGTGTTTTAACTACCGTAGGCCTACATACTGTAAAATTAAATATGTATAATCCAATTTATTATAAATACAATTAAATACACGTGAATTCCAGAAAGATAAACTTAAACAGAGGAGTCGTACAGAATTTGATATATTGATATTGAGGGTACTGTATCAATCCAAGCATACAAAATGAATCGATATGTTAAAACATAATACTTAGGTTCACGTTAAAATATGATCATACAGGTGATAATTATGATGTATATCTAAAGCACAACATACTTGTTCCAGTGAGCTGAAGATCAACAGGCCACACACATTTATGATATAGTATGAATTTCAATCAGCTTCATCCTGAATAGCTGAATTAAAAGAAATCATTAATAGACTCAAGTGTTTACCATTCGGCACACCAAGGGTGCCCTTGATATCTCCGAGTTTAAATCAGCCGCACAGCCATTTATGGCCCTGTGGGAGTCGGGTTATGTGTTGGTCTTGTGATTACGGTTACATAACCTTTCCCAACAGGGCCCCTGTTTAATCACAGAGAAAGTTTAGTTAGAAAAAAAAAATAATCATGTTTAGGTTTACAACCAGGGTTAGGTGTTTCTACACCAGTGTAATTCAGATATCATTTCCCTCTGATTTTAGGTCTACATTTTCAGACATACATGTTGTGCAGGTTCAAAAAAATATGTTGATCGAGGAACATGTCTCGCTAAATCACGGTGACCAGAGATATTTACATTTCAGCTATTTAACATGCCAGAAAGAACAAATTAGACACTTTTAGAAGCAATGCAATTAAATGGTAACCGAATTTAGACTTTTATATAAATTTCCTGATTTCCAAGATTTTTCAGATCCCAAACATTTTATGAAATGTGGTTGTTTCAGATGATACTGTGTGCAGAAGAAACTACACAATTCTCTACAATTTACATGCAAATCTGAGCCATGCTATGCATTTTAATTTAATTATTTTATAAATATATATATTATAGGATCCATCCATCCATCCATCTATCTATCTATCTATACACTCTAAAAAAATGCTGGGTTGTTTCAACCCAAATTTGGGCAAAATAAATTAAAAATGTGGGTTAAAATGCAATTAAAAATGTACTGTTGAAAGGGAAAGTTGAAGTTGGGTTAAAATTTAAAATGACATTTTTAACCCAACATTTGGATTTGTTCATATTTTATCCAAATTTGGGTTCAAACAACCCAGCATTGTTTAGAGTGTATATATATATATATATATATATATATATACTGTATATATATATATATATATATACTGTATATATATACAGTATACACATTCGCATTTACAGTAAGTTATTTTTTAATTTTTTTAACTCTTTTACTGGAGTCATAGTCATGGCTCATGTCTCTTAGGAATTAAAACTAAACTCCATAGGAATGAAAGAGCAACATCTGAACATTGTCCTTTTGTGGATCATATATTCTGAATTTCATTTCGATTGGTCGATGGTAGACATTCCTGTCTAAACTGTAAAAAGCGAGCCACGTCCATCTAATTTCCCCTATAAAGAAGTTGAATAGATGTCCTCAGACTTGAGCCAATATTGATTTGCCTCCTGCGAAAAGCAACTGATTTGTTGCCCTTTTGAACATGCACACAACGTCTTTTCATGAAAGGAAATGGAAAATGATTAACTTTAATGATGGCCATTGAGTAAGAGCAGGTGACAAAATGTCGCTTTCTCACAAATTATTATACCTTTTTAATGCCCCGTCATCGCTAATCTTCCGAATTTCTGTCTCCATTAGCCAGCGCATCAATGCAAAGTCTACCACCTCCCCCTTTCCCTTTCCTCTTTTAATCATCCCTTTCCTGTATTTTCGGTGCTTATTAGCCACTACGACAAGCTCAGCCGGTGAAACCGATGTTAATGGGCTTCATGTTCAACAACTCTTTCGCTTCAGCGAGGACCCCTAGGTTACTTTGCTCACATTGGACAAAAAAAAAAACACCCTTCTGAATGCTTGTTTCTCTGTTACTCTTGTGTAGAAGTACCAGAAGCATCGTTATTTCCATGTAATCTGTGAAAAGAACATCTCTTTTTTTAACAAAAGCAGGAATGTTTCAGGCGATGGCACAAATCACATTTTCCCCATGCACCACTGGTGCAAAAAATTGTGTTTTTTTTATTTGCGTCTTTTTTTATTATTATGTTGCTTAGCATCTGATTAACGGCTTGAGGCATAATTCGTACGGTTATAAGACTTGCTGCCAAGCCATAGTTTTATATCTCATCACTGTATCCAGTGAGGCGTAACTTGCAGATGATGGCTTCATTATACAGACACTAAACACTTTTATCTTATCTGAATGGTTTCATTTCTGCAGGTGTGTTTTTTTTTATCTGCTGATTGATTTTTATTTGAAGATGCATCACTCTCCCTGGGAAATGTTATTGCTCAGTGATTGCACTTTATTCTCTGTTATGATTCAAATAAGCCTCTGTAGCAATGGTTCCATCCGCCAATTTTCATGCAAATTTTCGGAAATCCAAGCTACTCCAAGTTACTTGCGTGCAAATTCAACGCATTCTCATCCCAAGGCGTCATAGACTGATGCTTTTGCCAATGCGTATACATCCAACGCGCATGGCACCGTTTAGCGTCAATATAGCTTGCTTCGGTGATGGTAGGTTTAGGTCGGGGGTAGGGTTAGGGTTAGACCACTAGGAGGCGCCTTCTGGCCCATATCTATCTGCGTCTCATATTGACGCTAAAGGGTGCGATGTGCGTTTGATGTATACGCATTGGCAAAAGCGTCAGTATATGACGGATGAGAACAGACTGGGCAATTCGTATGAATTAGTACAACGTGACAAAAATGTGAAAACAGAAACGTGAAAAAATGTAGGATTATTGAAGTTCGTAAGTTAGCTCCTGCCTTAAACATACCCTTCACTGAGTTGTAAGCAGAT